GTGAAAATATTGTGAATTTTCATGTTCCTAGCTGCATAAATGGAGAAGTTATCTCAAAAAATCTCATATCTGAACAATCAGTTGTATGGTGGATATAGGTTATAGCTACCCGATCTTCGCCATTTTCACTGAAAATATTCTTTTTATAATGATTGGCAACAGTGCCAAATTTCATGTTCCTAGCTACTTAAATATAGGAGTTATAAGCAAAATCTCATATCTGAACAATCAGTTGTATGGGAGCTATATGTTATAGTGACCCGATCTTTGTAATTTTCACTGTAAGTATTCTGTTGATAATGGGTGAAAGTATTGCAAAATTTCATGTTTCTAGCTGCATAAGTGGAGAAGTTATAACGAAAAATCTCATATCTGAACAATCAGTTGTATGGGAGCTATATGTTATAGTGGTCCGATTCTTCCGGTTCCGACAAATGATTAATAGTTTGTAAAACTACACCCACCTACTAAATTTCATCCGGATTCTCGAAAACTGAGAGACTAGATTGCATACAAACAGACGGACAGACAGACGGACAGACGGACATGGCTAAATCGACTAAGCTCGACGTTCTGATCATTTGAGTATACATTTTAATGGGTCTATCTCTTCTTATTCTGGTACTTACAAACATCGGACCAAAGTTATAATACCATTTCATGCTCATGAAAGGTATAATTAACATAAGAAAACAAAACATCTTGATTGTTCAAAAGCAAAGAATTTGATGAAGATTGTTTTATGTTTGTTTATAAGATGCCATTTTTCACTGCGATAGCATCGCACAATGTGTGCGTAATTGTGTTTTCGAAGTGGTAAATTCTGTAGCATCAGAAACGGTGCGGAGGTCGAGGTGAACTCGAGCCGGCAAAAAAACAATATTGTGAAATTTAATGAGGGCAGCAGTCTACCGGATATCCGATCGGATATCCGAATCCGGCTGTTATTTTTTACAGGATATCCGGAATCCGGTTATCCGGCAAAATCTATATCCGGCACATCCCTATGCGTAATAAATAATGTAATGTATTTCTTATGATTTCTAGATTCTATTACTGCTTAATATGTAATTAGCATTCTAATGTAGCCAAAAAGTCGCAAAAAATTCATACTAAATCATATTCTGGTAAGGCAAAAATGAATGCCCCAGGACATCGTCGTGTGGGAAAAAATGCATTTTCGAATGTGAAAAGACCTGTTTTACTCATTACTTTTTCGATTACTATACATTACATTTTCCCACTGGGTAATTGGGTTTGATAAAATAAACTCGCAACTTCAAGTTTTAAGTAAATATTTAATTTTCATATACATACATATTTCTAAATTTGTAAGTACCGGTATATACAAATAAACACGTTTTTAAAATACATACATACATATTTACAGAACTAAAAGTATTCGTAATAATTAAAACTAAACAACGCTTTAGCGTATTTATTTTGACTTAAGTAGCTTTAGTTAAAAACTATTGGCAACCGGCTCCGTTTTATTTTGGTATACTTGGAAAAAGCATAACGAGTTCCCTCAAGGGAATCAATCACATACAAATTTCGTATTAAGTACTTCATTGTACTCGTAAGTAAACACCATTTGCTTGCTCCATTGACTTAGAAAGTATACAGCTGTTTAAATAATTTCTGTTATTGATTTATCAATAAGACGGCATTGTGTAGTGAAATAAAAAAATATAAAAATCAAATAATCGGCAAGTTATTCTTGTGCAAGAAACAACAAATATTTGCATAACCGTTAATAACTAAGAACCCTCAACGCACACATCCAGGAACACCTGAATTTTCACTACATATGTATGTATATGTAAGTGCGTATGTACATAAATATTATTTACATACAAAAAAGACAATATGGTGGATAAAAAGGAAACTGGATTTAACTTAAAATTAGTAGATATGATTAAACAACTGAGATATGTTGAGGTATAGCTGACATCTTGGCCCCGGATCAGCGTCGGTGAGTGGGCACGCATNAACAACTGAGATATGTTGAGGTATAGCTGACATCTTGGCCCCGGATCAGCTTCGGACACAGCGTCGGTGAGTGGGCACGCATATACATACATATACTCGAACAAACATACACATACACATTTATGCGTGCGCGTGTTCTTTTGAGTCCATTTTGGCAGTTCTTGGAGGTAAGGCACCTCATTAATTTTTTTTTTATTTTTTAAAGCTTTTGTTTACAGATTCTTTTTCGCTTGTGTGTCGCACGCTGCGGCTATCGGTAAACCATTCAAATTTTTGGCGGTGATGTCATTGTTGTTGTCGCTGGCCGTTGCAGCAGCAGCGGCGGCACATTTGGCATTCAAAGCATCTGCTGCTTGCACTTGTTTCTTTTTGTACGATTTCTGATAGAAGTCATTGAAGAGGTAGTAGAAGAAAATGGCATTGGGTAGGGTGAAACAAACGGACCATCTGGGATAACCGCAATCGGTGTACAGGAGCTGAGTTTGATGTATGAAGACCATGCAGAATTGGATCTGTGAAAAAATATAAAAAAATATGTATAGTGTGTTCATCTTTCAAAACAATTAAATCGGGCATATATGTATGCATATGAGAGCACTGTACGATTACGTTATTCATATGATGATTAATAAATACGACAGCAAATTGACATCGCGTGTTCTTGTGTGAGTAGCTGAGTAATACTATTTTCAGACATGCAGTTAATCGAGCAGTTAGCCAACCTTTATAGATTAGGGCGCTAATTGAGCTCGACTTACCATACACAATTTCAGTTCCTTATTTCTCGATAAGTGATTGATTGAATGTATTTTTTTGTGGAACCCTGCAGGGTATGTTTAATCTTGACTTTGAGGTATGCTATCAGCTGTTTGTTCTGGTCTTCTTTTGCACCTGATGACAAATTTTATTTTAAAATTGAACCTAATTTGCGGGAAAACTTTACCTAAAATTATATACATTTTCCTCTGAAGTAAATATATATTTCGATATTTGTATTGTGTGTACTGCACTGAATTACTCTATCAATTTTCGAAGCTATGTAATTTTTACTTGGTTACTCTTATACGAAATGTAATAAATATACCGTGCAATTAAAAAAAAAGTCGTTCGTTCGTTCGTTTATATTTTTTGACATTATATGAATTTCCTGAAAAGAGCGCCGCACTGAGTTTTCAATCACACCATGCGTATGCCTATAAATTGTGTTAAATATGGATGCCGAAATCCGTTTGATATATGTATTAATATGTTATTAATTTATCATACAGTGGTCAATCAACAAGTGACAAAACAGAATATTCACACTTAAATCACAGCCGAACCATATAAGAGCATAAGAGCGTTGCGTTTAAGCGCTTCAATGTCAAATAACCGGTCTTTTTGCTCATTAAAATGTACGAGTAATTACGCACTAACATCAAATCGCAATACTTACCATTTGCAGATTGGTTATGTGCGACTTCCACCACAGATACTTTTGCATTTTCGGGCCAAATGCCGATAATAAGTAATAGGTGTACATAACAATATGCACAAATGAGTTGATCCAGCCAATGAAGGTGCCATGCCCGCCGGGATAGTATTTGGTGGTGCCCCATGAGATCAACGGCATAACTGAGTGATGGTATACGTGTAGGAATGTAACTTGACGTTCATTTTTGCGCAACACAAAGAAAACTGTGTCCAATAATTCGGTGATTTTCGCCAAATAGTAGACATAGACGCCTCGCGCTTCCTATGTGGAAAATGCACAATAAGAGTGACAAGAAAAGTGAGTAATTTAGATAGCAAGTATTTATGTAGTTTGTTTGAGTTATCTTACCCTAAGACCTTGCGGTGTGAAAGAATGGTTAACCGGCTGGCAGCGCCAATTGTACGTTGTCCATGCCACACAGCCCTATGAAGAAGAAAATAACATAAACAACAATGAAATAAGTCATACAAAATTTGATTGAGAAATTATAGAACATCAAATAAGTAACTAAATAAAGTGAGAGTTTCATTCTAAAGAAAATTCTATAATTTCTGCGGAGGCACAATAAACAAGTAAAGTAATAAAACAGCTTTTTCGCTTTTTTTGTGGAGAAGAGAAACGACTGGCCTTTGTTGAACTCGTCCAAAATCGCTTAGGCGGCTACAACGCCAAATAAGAAGAAAAAGTAATTCCATGAAATAGCGGTGTGTTGTTTTGAGTTAAAAAAAAAAATCTAAATTAACTAAATTAAATAAGGATACATTTTTCTCAATGGTGCGAAACTCATGTGGGATTTCAGCTCGTCCACTCCACAACGAACGGGAGAACTGTCCAATGAGTTATTCAGAGAGTTGATTACAACACCATGAACTTGGCGGCTGAAGTCACCGAAACAGAACCCAAACTATTTCCCGAGAAAAGGCAAATTTCCCATAAAATAGTGAGCCGTGTGGAAAGCGAAGAATGTGGCTTTTAATTCTTGGACGCAACAGCGGGAACTGGCAAGACTGCTGAATTTGCTACTAGCACAGTTGCCAAGTATGTTGCACTAGCTGTTACCTCCTCAGGGATATCAGTTGACTCTGAACCTTGCGAGTCAGGATACATCAACTTGCAACATTAGCAAAACAATGGTGGCGGGGCTATGTTGCAACAATGAAATTAATAGTTTGGGACGAATGTACGAAGTCACACAAGCATGCAATCGAGGCACTAGATCGAAGCTTGCAAGATATCCGCGGCAGCCGGTTGCAGATGGGTTAAGTATTCGTATTGCTCGCTGGAGATTTTCGGCAGACGTACTTGCCATCGAGCGTGGCACTGCAGCAGGATATGCATGGCCGCATTGTGGGTATGGCAGTATATAATGGATTACTTAACTTTTTGTTTTAATAAAAGTTGTTAAAATTAATGTGGTGAAATGGTTTGTTTCCTTCTTTATAACATTTATGTGAGATAAAGTAATAATCAAGCAATGTGTTTAATTTTTGATAAAAAAAAAAAATCTTAAAATATAATCATTATTTTTGATGAAAAAATAGTTGCAGGCGCAAAGTGTGCATACATTACCAAAAAAATAATAATAATACAAATTTGGTTTTATTTTTTTAGGTGAATAGAACCGACCCAGGGCTCGAGAGGTTTCGCTGCGTCCTTGCTAAAAAAACGGGCGCTTTCATCATACTAAGGGCCGCTCTCTCTTTAATTTAAAGCTCGCTTTATATTTAAAGGTTGCATTAACATTTGTAGTTGTACAGGAGTCTGTTCTTCGTCGTCTCAATCTAAACAAAGGCTTTTTACTTTAGAAACCCTTTGGTTTTTCAACACCTTTTTCTGTATTGGCCAACGCAAATATTCTTTCGATGGCTTTGAAATCGCTGAATTAGATTGCCGTTAATTTTTTTTTTTTGCCAAGTTCTTTCTTTTGAGGTTATTGATCTAAGCGTTTAGAGCTAAGAATTAGAAATATGAAAAAAATGAAGATTTTACCCAAGTCATGCTGGTTGGCAAATTTAAAACTGGTACGGGGTTATGTTTCCATATTTTGAAATTGTTCTGTTTATTGTAATTTTGACAATTCTTTATATGAAACGGTTGTAAAACTGCATGCAACCATATACGTATATTGAAATGAGGACTCGAACTCGTATTTATGGCGTCTCATTCAAGCGACTATGCCGCTTTAATTATTAAAATGGTAAAAATTAATTTTTGCAAAATTTTGTTTTGAATTCAATAACTCTCGGAAATAAACGTATTACTCATCCTCTTTGGATATACAAACATACATACATATCTACGTAAATAAATTCTAAATATATTCACATACTTCCAAATATTTTATGCCACTTAATGGCGGAAGTGTCCTTAAGGGCGCATGCCCCCTAAGATTTTATAAGGAGATAAAGAAGTGTCTCTAATGAACAGCGTGCCAAATAACACTTTAATTAGCTCTACTGAAAATTCCTATAATTTGAGTTGTGTCGTTATAGCAGAAGCTTTTCCAAAATAAAAAAAAAAACAAGATTTTGCCCAATTTCAAACTCAAACTGAGAAAGTGAACTTAAAAAAGTGTCTCTTAAAATTTATGGGCGTGGCAAACATCGATAAAACCGTCAAGTTATCAACTTAATAACTTTTCATACAAAATAGCGGTGTTTTTTTAATTTTTATAATTACGATCCATATTTCCCATTTGCTTTGATCAAACCATATTAAAAAAAAATAAAAATTTCAATCTTAAGAAGTTATGAATTTTTTAATTTAATTTAATTTTTCAATTTGATTTAATTAAATTTAATTTTTTAATAGTTTTATTTAAATATTAAAAATTCAAGCAGAAAAGCTAACGCGGAATAGTCTAAATGGAAAGGCCTATTGCACAAATTATATATGTATTTACGAGTATTATTTTATATGGGGAATTTCCTAAATTGATACAAAGAAGCGACAAAAATTGCTCTAAAAGGTTGAGTTTGTGACCTTTTGCAATAATTTGGAAATGAAAACTGGTTTTAATAAATTAGGCCTACAAATAAAAATTCAATTCAAATGCCACACTCACATGTGTAAATATGTACATACATATGTATATTTGAACGTATAAATATGCATAATAAAATCAACAAAAGACTCAAAATACGACTTACCTCGTAGACCATCCATGCGCTGACCAATACCTGTAGGAAATTATACACAATTAAAGTCTTTTCCAATTTGAAAGGCTTGCGATCGTTCATATAACGTGGACCCCAAGAAAGCACGAAATACAAGTAAAGCCCCACAATAGAGAAGATCGGTACTGGCGATTTAACTAGGAACCAATCATTTGTACGTGGATCTATTGAGGAAGTGAAAAAATGCTATTATTAGTATAAGATAAAAAAGTAATTGTCAGCTTAAGTACTTAGCTTGAAATAAATTGCTACTTCAAAATATAGTTCTTTTCTTTTCAATGTTGCTTAAGTAGTACATACGAGTACATATTTCAAAGGATTGTATGGTATTCAAAGAATATACTACATACTATATGTACGAGCACACATACCTATATGAAATTTCGAACAGATTTGGCGGATTAAACTTTAAAGATTCTAAGTTTGTTGATACGAATATCTGTGGTCATAAGCAATAACCGCCTAAGTCGAAAACTCTGAATTCGAGGAAAAACAGTTTAAACATTTGGATTGTAATGTTAGAGCCTTATGGGGAAACCAAAATATTTGCGCCTATAACTTTTTAAGTTGCCTAGCTGGCGAGATGGGGATTTCACGTATGTACGCATGCAATAGGGCTTGTATTTAGAATACATTAGCATATACTATACATAACTCCATTATTTCTTAAGTCGACTTAGGCGGTTATTGCTTGTGACCACAGATATATATAAGTATTTGTTTACTTACCAGCCAACTCAACGAATAGGAAATTCCACACGTCGCTTTCTGTTTCATTCGTATATGCCATTTTTCTTTAGTGTTTTTGACTTCCTGCCCTATTTGAATTCGACTAGAGTTTAACAAACTGCTTTGTTTATTATTCTAATGAATCAGCGTAAGCACTCAAGCTACTGCCAATCTGTATATTGGATCTTTGATGGGACTCGTGCGACTACGCAGATTTCCTCAGCTGTATGCTTTGTCTTTTTATTGCTGCAATTAAAAAAAAAAAAAATTTAAATTAAGTTTTTGAAATACTAATATTCTGTAAGTGCATGTGTGTTGTAAGAATAAAAAGATAAAAGTGGGTATGAAAAGAATGGAACTGTAAATAAAGGAAAAACAACAACACAATAAATTAGTCACAACATAATTCAATCATTTGATTAAAATTAAAATTTGCGAGCTACTGCCAATCGATGGCGATGTCATGCTTTGAAAATTTTTAAGAAAAAAATATCCGCCAATGGAATTGCAATCCAAAAGCCGCCCCCGGTTAAATGTTGAACACAAAACATACATACATTTATATGTATGTATATGCATGTAAGCATTATGGACTCAAGATGATACTTATTCATAAAATAGCACAAATAAGACATTAGTTCAGCACTCGTGGGGCAACCTTTTGCTTTTGTATCTTTTTTTGAATTACCTAACATGAGTTTCAACTTTTCTTTTGTGAGCAAATTGCCGGCAATTAGCATCCCAATAAACATTTTTGTTACTTCTCAATTTGAGATGGATTTGAGAATCAGTATTTTTTTTTGCAATCTCAACCGTTAATTCTCAAATGCATCTCGAATAAAATCACGTTTTTGATATGAAATTTTCCTATACTTTCAAACGTGTGTGGAGCGGAACGAAACGAAAATTTGAAAATTTGGGTGATGCAAAAAATTTTGTTGCATAGTTTGTTTTGAAGAACAATTTTGCGGCTGATGTAGGAGGCTACTGATGGACTGCGACATCTGTGCCATGTTGACNAACAATGTTCGAGAAAAATTTGAGAAACTGTTTAGTTTCGAATGATAAACAATGCTGAAATCAAATTGAGAAATACGATTTTATCAAACGTTTGAAAATTTTTGTTTCAGTGTTTGTTGGGATGTAAAATATAAATATTTACATATACATACGTATATATATTTACACGTATATAAATGTGTCATTCCATTGCAACGGTCGTTATACATTTGTATGTATAATTGTAGTATGGAGTACGAATTCGCAATATGAAATCGAACAATAGTACTAGGAGCACGAGCCTGCACCATTGAATGAGTTGAGTGAACGTTATTGTTTTTGAATACCTATAGGTAAGGTAGTTCCCCCTTACATATATCCGACGACAAGAATTGCAAAAATTTCTTTGAGCGTTCTTGAGCGTAAATGTAATGGCATGAGCGTGTGATTGTTACTCTTAGTCCAGAAACATGCAATTGCATGAATTTTTCCTGTATATTAAACTCTTTTTTTCTGGATTATGTCTTTCTTTCAGTAAATGGGAGAGATGTAATATGGTAATTGCAATTTATCTTATTCCTTGCTTGGCGACTTTGGTTGGCATGGAGACTTTACCAAATCAATTGTGGAAAATAAGACAACAAAAGTCTTGGGCTTTTTAAAGTATTTCATTTATTCGAATTCCGGGATCCCGGACTTTTTAAAGTCTCGAAAATCCCCGGATTCTTGGCAAGTATATAACTTTTTTATTTACAAATATCAATATACTCGCGAAACCCTGTGCCAAATATATTAAAATTAGGGTTTTTAGTTTTTCACGCTGACGTCAGTAATTCAAAAATGATTAAAAAAATTCAAAGAAAGGTGCTTGGAGAAGAAGTATGAATAGGTATAAAATTAATGAGGAAATCTGGTGCAGAAAGGCTGGTAAATACTGAAAATGTAGTTTTAAAATTTTATCCTTGAAATTTCGCAATACTTGTTTTTGAAAAAAATATATGTTAAGGGCTTATATAAACTCGATAACATCCTCGAATTTCGTTCTTCTAACTTCGTCAGCTTAAAAATTACCTATTTGTCCTTGTGAATCCAAAAAAATTTAATTTTCTAAATTCTATAGACTAAATTAAATTCCAGGACGAATCCCATGATCCCGGTATTAGGACAACGCCATCCCGAAAATCCCGGGATCGGAAAAAGCCAAAAAATTAACATCCCTAATGCACATATGTATGTACATATATATACAATATATTAGTATAGGTGTCGAAAAAAGTTTTTAAGTTAGGTTAGTCAGAAAACCAATCAACTTACTTAGACCTTACAGGTCCGTTATGAAACCATTTTGAAGCTTTAATGAAGCGTAGGATTGGTTTTGTTCCTGCAATGGATAGTTCCGTAAGAGAGCTAATAAAGTGCCTACCTAAAAATCCCGCTCTATTCTTAGCTAAGGCTGGACAGCTACAGAGGAAGTGATCAACTGTTTCTTCTTCTTCCTCATCTCTGCAACTTCTGCAATATTCATGGATGAATATGCTGAGTCTCGAAGCGTAGCTACCAAATACCCAATGAACGGTTACTCAAGCCATGATCCCTTAAGAGGCTGAGCAGATATTCAGTTTTTTTATTTTTAAATTTGCGGCCATAGTAACCTAGTTGTCGTACAAGTGCCCCCGTCTAACCATGACCTATTGACCTCTTCAATAATGTCATTTCTAATACCTAATGCCATAGCTATGCCAATCTTATCTTTGTTTTCACATAGTGGCAGATTTATACCTTTCCTGTCTAGCTCATATTTTCCTTTAATGTCTCTATGTCCGGGAACCCTTATGAGACTAACCTTGAAGACGGTGCTAATATCATTTAGAGCTGCCAAGCATTCCTGTGCAACCTCGGATATTAGCATTACCACTGGCTAAACGAGAATATATTAATTGTAGTCTTCGTTATGGCATGCGTATTAAGCAACCTTTTTTATAGCTAGAAATTCTGTCCGATAAACGCCACGCCAAAGCGGCGGCCATGTGTTTTCCTATCAGATTCACCATGAAGAGAATTACTTCAGTTATTCCGAGTCTTCTACTATCTGTCTAGTTTCTAAGCGTAGCTATATTAAAGCGTAGAATCTCCATTAGGGTATAGGGAATCTAAGTACATATGTCCCCAACAAAACAAACTCTCACTTGGGGAACGACCCGCCCTTATCTAAGTACATACATAAAGACGTACATATATGTTCATATGCGCCTCATCTTCACATATTCATTTGCAATTGCATAAAGAGAAAATAGGTCAAATGAGAGCTATAAAATCACGGTCACTATTTTGGCCTACAAACAGTGGAATTGGATCAGCTAACGCACTTAACGGAGAGCCAAAGGTGAATTTATTAAAGCGAAGTTTATCTAATACGTATGCGTGCATTCAGCGTACATATGTATGTACATACATATGTATGTTTGTAACTTTACCTGAAATACTGGCAAAAGAAAAGAAAATGAAAGAAATCTTCATTTGTCATTTTGCTATTACATCCGCACCTGTTTGATTTCTTTCTACGAGTCTTTGTTTACTTTTGTTTACCTTCATATGTGCATAGGTATATACTAGGGCTGGGACTATCCGCATATTCGAATATCCGGATATCCACGTGGATTATCCGTTGACACGGATAAAAACCGGATAGTGTGGATATCCGGTTAATATTCGTTTGTACAATTATTCGGATTTTCGGATTTACGAAGAACCGGTTAATATTCGTATTTTCGGATGTAAAAAAAAATTAAGAAAATTTGGTAAAGCATTTGCCATAAGCAAAAGTATCGTAGCAGCTTTCATTACTCAGTTCATGATATTTTAAAGTCCTGAAGAAACTCTCGCGGTCAATTTTATAAATTTGATTTTTTATTTTTACGAAGCGATAGATTTAATTTCACAATACCAGGCGCTCATAAATATGAAGTAGCAAGTTTTCAATACGCATAAATTTGGTTGTAGAACTTTTTAATTCGATTCTAGGAGCCTTTGAAATTCAAAAAGTAGAATTTTGGAAATTTAAAAATTTATACAAAATATTTTGTGCGTAGAAATAGAAAAGTTGTTACTTCACATGTATGAGCGCCTGGTATTGGCAAATGAGAATATCGTTTTTTACAAATAAAAACTGATCATAAAGGGTGGCCGCGCAAAAATGGGCACACATATGTATGTATTTTAAAAAAGTACATTATATGTATGGGGATAAATCATGGACTGAATGATAAAGCTGCTATCATTCGATGATTGTTATGCATGATTATATATTTCATGTTCTGCATATTTTCGAATCTGTTAAAGAAAAAAATTATGGATACTAATTGTCTTGGAACATTTTGCACTCGCTTTTTAAACAACCAAAACTATTAATTTGTACAATATGTTCATGTGAATCAAGCTGTGTTTCATACGTGGAGAAGTTATAACTCTTCTGTACATATTTTTCTTAGTGTATAAAATTTGATTGGAAAGTGTTCATTCATCAGGAAGCTAATTCATTATTGAATTCTGTTTACTTCAGCACTCTCAGTTTTTCATTCAGGTATGTATTTACCACCTTGCTGTGTAAAATCCAATTTTTTTTTAATGATTGCAGATTGAAAAAAATATAAGCCACACTACCAGCCAAAAGGAAAACAGAATGAAATCCTACTTGTAAATATTTCATGATTAAAATTTTAAATGATTTCTCAGTTTCACAGCTCTGTTCTTTAGAACGTTTATGATGATATGTTAACGTATATTTCAAACGCATTCTGTTTATTCTGGTTGTAAAATGGGATTGTTTGGGATGTCTAAAAACTCGCAGCCATAATGTTTATATATCATATAAAGTAAATATTTACATATTTGTTTCAAGACGGAGCATCACACGATCTATTCAAATATGCACAAACAGTTGTTCAAATAACAGGAAATGCCTCCTCTTGACTCAAATACAATTATCCAAATACTTGGTAAACTTTTTGCTTCGTGGCTGTTTATTCTGATGTTAACTACAACGGACATATTCAGTTTGTGACGTTCATGAGTGAAAAAAAAACAGCATATAAGGGCGCAAAAACTCAAGTAGGGCGCAGTTGAAAGTTTGGCACTGAGCATTTCTTACGACAACTACCAAAATGGCCAACAAATTCGTTTGCACTCTATTGCTGTTGATCGCGGCTACAGGCGCCCAAGCTGATGGAATTGTAGGTGGTACAGCT